GTGCTGGCCTATGTCAAGCATTCTGAGGTGCCTACGCCACCAACCGCTCGATCAGACAATCTGGAAAGAAACTGACAGCAAGAACGCCACTGACATCGATTAGCCGCCATTTCTTTCAACGTCTCCAGCCAAGCACAGACGGGGTCACGGGGACCCCATCCTGGAAGGCGCACAACACCAACAATACCCAAACTCTTCGTGATGTCTTTGACGCCTTTCTGCCAAGTCATGTGCTGCCCACCTCGCGGTTTGCGCCATCCTGAGGGAGTTACGGAGTTACTCGTCTCGGTAGTCGGTGTTTCGGCATGCGTAGCACATGACCAAGCCATCGTAGTCGATTATGCAGGACGTTTTTTCGGATTGAGGTGCCTGCAGAACAACGAAATACCCGTTTTCTAATCACCTCGTTACTAACACGCTGATGCCGTCCGAAACTAGCCACGCTTCTGAGGCATCGGTGGTCGAAAACCTGAAGACGCTTCACATCATCTGTCCGCAGGGGCCATTTCTCGCACCCATGGAACAACACAGCCCTTACTGTAGCCTGGCACACACGACCCTTAAGATCCAATGAGGTGCCTTTTTGACGCCACAAGTGACGGAAATTAACAAAGGTGATTCGAGCCTTTGAGATTCTTGCACTGACCTCATCAAACACACTTCCGTCAGAGTTAATACAACTACCGAGGTATGTAAAGTTTTCCACAATTTCCATTGATTCTCCTTGAATTGTAAGAGATATCCTCGCATCAATCGCGGTAGAAAAAGCTCCTCTTTTACTCTCAAAGTTCGGATTCCTTCGAAAGATCCGTTCTACCAATTTTTAGTTGTATACCAAAGCCTAGTTACGACAAACTCACTGGAATGCGGAATTAGTAAGTTATGAGGTGAAGCCACCCGAAACATCGTGTACACTCAAGGACACATAATCTAGCCTCGTAAAGATTGCAGAGAACGATGTGTGAAAAAACGGGGGAAACAAATATCCTTTCAGTTTCACAACCGAAAATCAAGGCTCCAAAAGCTTCTCGCTACCAACAAGTTGTACGTAACCGCGAGTCAGAAAGAAAAAATCTTCATTTGAGGAGCCCTCGTTCTGCTTCTTAGCATCGACAGACCCTACCTGCAGGGCAAAATTGTAACTGGAAATTGAAGAATATTCTTACAGCAAGGTAGTCATTAATACTGTGTGACTTTTGCCCGTCTGTGTACAGTAGCTGGAAAAACACATTTTACACAATCGAATCGAAAGAAAAATGTGTTCATTCCGTCATTATCAGCAAACAGAAAAGCTCGTCGTTCATAATAGAAGTGGGATCGCCACTGACACGAAATAGAAAATGTGTTCACATCTTTTGATGTGGTATTTTGGCAACAGCACCTTCCTGTACAGCCACAGATTCTCGGATTATAACGAATGCAACCGTAAGTTCTTGGGATGCTGACCATTATTCGTCTACAAAAAAGTGATGCAAACACATGCCTCCATTGGTCGCCGAATCGGTTAGAGTTTGGCGAATTCGGTGTAGCCGCCTGTGAGAGCACTGGTGATATGTAAAAGCACTACAAAAAACACCGGGGTATAACAGAAACCTTCATTCCTGTCAGTACCAATTCACTCGAGAATACAATTGTTATCCAGAAACAAATTAATACATTTTCCAGAGGTAGGTGAGTGCTGTCCTTAACGCAATAGTGAGATCACCTCCCAAGGGAGGTTACAAAAGAAATCCCCGTCAGCCACAACTTGATGGGAAACCTCCTGGTGTAAGAGGACATTCCAATTATCTCAAAACATCAAAGTTTCAATTTACAGCTTCAGGTACGTTTTTTTAATGATTCCAATGCCCGGTCGTCGCGAAGTCGATGAACGGTTGGGCAGGTTTCACCTTTTGACCGTCAGTGCTTGTGGTTCCTTATCGAGTGCGAACAAATAGCGAGCAAGTGGTTGGTTCCATTATGGCACATCGTTCAGCCGTAGCACCTTTTCAGGGCTTAACTGTCATGACACCCGAAGGAAGCACGAAGACTGGGATATTGCCAGGTTGCCCAAGCCTAGACAGTGGGAGTCTAGAGGTAGAAGTCTGGTTCGAACCACAAACCTTCCGGTGAGTCAATTCGCACTCTAACCACTGGGCCATAGCTGAATGATTGCTATTATTTTTAGGCAAGGCATATACTCATCATCTCCGCCTTTTGAATAGTTCAGCCACTGAGGCCCGTGGGTGGTAAAGATGAAAAACAGATCGTAACGGATGTTACCTTTATAGAGACATGCGACGCGCGAAATTTCGATACCACTTGCTTCAGACGGTATCTCTTACATTTTGACCGCGACCTCGCTCTAAGCATTAGCGCTTGCTTTCAGACTGTCTTGAGTGAGTCATCCATTCAACCAAGCTCTAATGATGCTTAATCGACTGCAGACGACACATCTGCTATCCCATTATTAAGCGCGACGAAAAAAAAACAGTAAGTAAGAAGCACGCCCAAGCTACGCGTATTTTGTAACGTTCGCAAGACGACTGGTTCTCCATAACCTCAAACTCTGCCCTAAGATAGGGCATTGTTGCTGTGTCTTACAGATCCAATTCAACATGACAGGCTCCATTGATATTCCGTTCCTGACATGTACACACAAATTCTTTCTCGCCACCAGCAGCCCTAGCCTTATACTATATTTATAGTACATTGGGCTATGCGTTTACTTCCTTTCTCCGAACTGTTCAACACGTTTTACACTCATCAGTTTTTTCGCCCTTTGTGCAAATGAACTATTTCCGTATTCGGTAGAATTCCGCACCGATACCGCTTTACCGGTTGCGGTTAGGCGCTGCTACAGCCAAAGGGCCATGGCGCACGGGAGTGGTCAGAAGGTTGGACTGCTTGCCAGTCCAGCATCATGGCGAGCTCTGAGTGGCCGAAAGTCTGGACCCAACAGCCAATCATGACCCAGTATCCGCCGAATACAGGTTGCCAGTGGCACATCCCAAAGGTGCAGGACTTCAAGAATGTTGTCACCGCATACACTTTACGCGCGAGGAACTGTACACGTGTTTTTGACCTAAATGTCCGGAGATCAGCCGCCCTTAATAACCGAACATAACGTCAATTGGACGAATGTGTCACGTGCGGGCTACGGACTAAACTAAGTCATCCATTGATTGGTCAGAATGCCAGCAAATCTGGATCGAGCATCGATAGATCGACGCTTTTCTCCCCCTCACGAAGATTCTAGCGCAACTTTGTGGAATATTCTGTGATAGTCCTACAAATACGGTTGTAATCCCCCTTAGTCTCCATGAAAAGCTTCCTCAAGCTACCGTGCCTATTGATACACCATAGTGGGCGGAGCAGGAAGCCAAGGACCGACACGGAAGTTGCACCACCATCAGCAAGCCACGACACTGGTTTTGGGTGTCAATACACGCTGTGAACATTTGGTGGTTGTTTTGGAGGGAGCATAAGGTTCAGAATGAGAAAATACCGTCAGCACATCCCCGCTGCTTTTTCCGAAAACATCCTGCTGTTGTGACCAGTTGCCACTATGTCCTCCCGAATCCTTCTGGCCATTCAAACATCAAATAAACTTTCCTGGCGATTCACTTTGAGGGCTATGTTAGTTCATGAGTGCTTTTTCTGTTGATTTTGTTATTGACAGGACTGCTGTCACATGCTTACCAAGATAATCACATCTGAGTGACTCGGAGTTGTGTGTAGTTGAAAGTTATCGGGCCACTGAGGCTGTATGAAATAGAAGGGCACTGAGTACATTCTGGGAGAAAGGTAACACTCACGTTTCGCTGCATAATAGCACAAAAACCTGTCCTGTTCCCCAAACATATCAGCTGGACGAAAGATGATTGCATCTGGCCTCTCTCGCAACACCTCCGATTCTCCAGCTGCCTTGGATTTCATAAAACGAGACGGTCCACGGACGTAGCAGGGGGGATTCGGGTTTTGACAGAGTGCGGACACGTGCACAAGGCGGTCAACTTCCATTTCTTTAGAGATGCGGGCAATTCGTGCTGCCCCGTCGACGTGAACTTGTTCTAGTGTGAAATTACGGGTGTGAGTTTCCTTGCCAACCAAATTGATGACCACATCGCTGTAGCGCATAGATTGACGGATAGTATTTTCATCTTCTAAATGAAAAGGCTGGAACGCACAAAGTTATGCAATACAGTTACCAATCGAAAGGCCGCCATATGGGAGCTGAGATGTGTTGAGACAACCCAGTCGGTCACATTGATAATTATTTCTTTCACTGATGAATGAGACGGGAGCAAATATGTATCAGAGCCGGTTGGTTAGAAAAGATAGCGAGTTGGTATTGAGCTAATGCAGTTTTCCGGTGGAATTCGCATAAGCCACACGCACTGAAAACAGTAGCTTTGATGCGGGTAAAGCACGGACTAAGTCTGCCTTCCATATATCCTGTACTGAAGAACGCACCAACTCAGGTGACAAGCACCAACCAAGGTGGGTTTTGTGTTTGGAGTTTTCATACTTCATCGGAAGTTAATAAAGGAACTGGTGTTGGTCCCAGCCTGTACCTAGCCGGGTGGAAAAAGTTCTGTGAGGCAAACCGTCTGCCACCTGACGGGTGCAGTCCTTGATCTAGATCTAAAGGCCACAGGCTGTGACTTGTTTGTCCAATGCGGATTTATTTCTTTGGGGGTTATCTAACCTAACATTACCGGTTAATCTTCTGGCTTCGGATAAACCGACAAGCAAAAAATCTATCGTTGGCAGCGACTAGAAGAATAAAACTTCGTTGCCTACATGATAGAAATCACGATTTATTGTCTGGGGCAGACAAAAGCTTCATCCGGGCTTCTCGATCAAGGAACAACGGCCACCTACCTGATCTACGGCCAATCAACGCACCCGAGCTACCGGGATTCCGACATATTAACAACTACTCATTCGTATGATCCAGCTTAAAGAGGCTGACAACCATGATGGAACAGGTTAGCCACGTTGCACATGTATGCCTAACTCATGAATATGCCAAGGCACCTGGCGCATGCACTCCAGGCCAAACGGAACATCTCACCGTACACTGATAAGGACTGTCGGATACAACGGAACCCAAGTAAAACTTCATTACAAGTTCACAGGGGAGTGTGATGCAGCTCATAGTCGTGCGACTCTGGGGAGAGGAACACACCATCGTGTAAATATTTGAGGATATCCCAAAGGTGCTTCCTGGAGAAGTACTACTGTATTCAACAACGAGATGACTGTACGAATAGGACTTACCAAGAACAATATCTGACCGAGATCACCCAGCACTTTCAGGTCTCTCACAAAGTACGGGTCACCACGATAGGGAATTATTATCTGTGTCCCGGTTTTTGCCAGATGAGTGATTACATTCCGTCCGAGTCGCCCTGTGGCCCCAAACACGGTGGCGACCATTCCGTTGAAAGAGGAGCGACCCCCAGTACCGCGCTTGAGTTTTGACAGGACTAATGGTTCTTCAGGATGACACATGCAGGAGGTTGTGAATATGTCCCGGCTACATACAGGCGCTTTAGATAAACAAATGCAAAAACGACCTATAGGAATGAGATAGGGCTGATGAGAGCTATCTAACAGGGGGTGATGTAGTCCATGACCCTCAGCCACATTACATACTACTGAAAAATTCACAACAGAATTCACTGCCTAGTGGTGGCATACAGAGAGAATGTTCAGAATGGTCTGTTTGTATTGCATCCCTTATCTTCAAATGGTTCTTTAAATCTCGTAAACATATAGTGTTGCTATAAATCCCGCCGATTGTGTTCTGAATATACTACACCTCCCGAAAGCGACTGCTGATGGGACCCGTATCGTTAGAACCAAGTGATTACTGTCCAATCAAAGTCTAGTGCTGTTATTGAGGTGGATTCACAAAATAGATTTGATGAGGTCCACCGGTGGCTGTAGAAGAGTGAGCACACCTGGGGGAAACCGCCTCTCCAGTCCGCTAGTGCAGATTATACTACAAACGATGACCATTCATCCAAAAGCAAACCTAAAGTCTTCGTGTTCTTATGAAAAACAATCGGAAAGATTTCGTAGGTCTTCGCTTCGAGCAGCTCAAAGACAACAGCATACAGTCGCGTTCCTGTAGCCTTTCAAGGGTTACCAGAACCGCACATACTGGGTATGATCATTTGGAAAGCAACCATCGTTTGAAAATGGAACAGAACGCTGATGAAATTTAAGACGAAAGCGGTGGAGTTTAAGGCCACAAGGGCTGATTGATGCGTCAGATGACGAGGCAATTGAGAAAACTTGGCGTGATCATGCATAGTTTTCTGACCGATCATTCATCACCTGACCTGCTCAACTCTTCGCCACCAGTACCTGGGTGAAATAGCTAGACAGATGTGCTCCAAAGCGTTATAATGTAGATTATTCAGTTATGGTGTTTTATTGACACACACGAAAGACCCATAGGAAACACTGAAAGTGATATGTCACCCGAATATCCAAACGAGTACAGAAATAATCGAGGGAAAAGGCTCGCGCATTAATAATTACTCAGTGTGCCACTCGACTGCAGACCATCAAAGCCTTACCCAGAAATATCATCCGACAGTGAAAGAGAAGGAGGGCTCACAGTATATTTACATAAAGGGAACTACTCACAAGGTGGCTGGAAACTCTTCGACAGCCTACGACCGGTTTCGCCCTTCTTGGGGCTCATCAGGCAGTCCCCGAGTTTCCGGTCGCGGGCTGTCGAACAGTTTTCAGTAACCTTGTGAATAGGTTCCTTTATGAAAATATACTGCGATATCTTGAATATCGTGCCAACTGAGGCGGCCTGTGTGCAGCACATTCGGTTGTAGAATAGCATAAACGAGAGATTCAGTTGAGTCATCCGTGAAAACCAAATTGATTTGCAAATGAGTGTATTTCTCGAGAACGAGGGCTCATTTGTGATCCGAACAGTTTTACCCATGGCTTGCCATTTCTGCAGCATTGACAAATGGATTTCGCAATGGGGCTGTATTGTCAGAGTAGAAATCAGTTCAGACAGCTGGCTGCATCAAATATGCACCATTGGTTTGACAACAATAAAGAGGCCTTAGGTAATATCGTTATGTAACATTTCGTTTTTCAATAGGCTATCGCTACGACGGGAAATCTTGTCTCTTCCGGGGTTAACAATCGGAGCCCTGACAAAAAAAGTAGCCATCGTACTTGAGTACGTTGATTGACGCGTAGCAAAGAGGGGGTCAAACAGTCGGTTTGAAACTGTTTCAACTATTGACAAAGTCGTTTCTCAGTAATACTTGTTTCTATGTTATGTAATCTTAGGTTGCCGGCGATTGCGAGATCTCTAGTCTTTAAGAAGTTCGGCTGTTGCTCCTTGAATTGTTAAATCGGTTTAATGACAGTCATTAGTATCAATAGTCAACTATCGTCACAGAAAAATATGTACAAGATAGAAAATAGTACACAATCGAAAACCAACATCGGAAAGAAATGCTCGAAACTTTTCATGCTCCTCAATCTGAGTAGCTTCAATGCCATGTCTATCTTATATTCTACCAGAGGCGTCAGCAATCCATACACAGAAACACAAAATGTGCACCTGAAACCTAACTTCTTTCAAAAGTCGAGCCATCATTAAGTTGAAGTGAGCAAGTGTTGATTGAATACAGCAGTCACTCCGCTCAAGCCAGTTTCGTTAGTGCACTGACCATGTGGCCTCGATTGGTGATGAAAAGTCTGCAACCCAAAGGTTAGGTCCATGCTATAAGGGACTGCGTACTACAGTGGGTCCCTCAGGGTGCTGTCTCAGAGGAGGACAAGCCTTGCACAGTCTGTTCTTCAGGGGACAGTATTTGAAAAGATCGATAAGTCATTTCCCAAGAGCCAACTCTCTAAGCGGACGCGGTTGTACACTAGTTCCTTCTGGAGAGAGCACCTTAAATGACCGGCTAAAATTGGTCTCTCCTGTTAGCTGGTATCCTGTGTATTTGAGGGACTAACTCGAAGTTGCTTTTTACGATTGGCTTCTCCTGATGTTGGTAACTTCAAGAGGGATATACTGCAGTCTGAAAGAGGTACGAAAAGTCTTATAACAACAGCTGTAGTGGCTTCCCTAAGGTATGTGCGAAAGCATTCCACTTTCTGGAAGGTGCATGTGGAAATTATTTTGGAGCTTAAGGCTTGCCTCGCCTCCGCATCCGACTACATTTTGACGTTATTTATGAAGGGAGTTCTCCCATCAGGCCTCAACGCCAAATTAGAAGCTTAGAAACTAGGTACTTTCTGAATTGATCTTGCGTCAGAGTTTAAAACATTCGTGGCCACGGTTTCCGTATATGTAGTTCAGAGTGTGCCTACCAGCCTTAGAGCCTCCAGCGTGACGTAACATGTCATACCGAGTCAGTAAAATAAACTCTTTCTTTAGTAGTCACTTTCCGACAGTGGCCTCTGTGAGGAGGACTACTGTACTCTAAAACGAACGTCTTTACACCATGTTTACAAGCCGCATCGGGGAGAGGGGTCTGTCATTGGATGATTTAAAACGAATCTCGTTGGCGATCCAAAGTGAAGACTGCAAAAGGAACAAGCAGTTCACTACAGAGACATCTTGATCAGCTTGGGAGCATGTATTTCAATAAAAGAAGCCTTCAATAAAGAGCTTGATCTCAGTTTTAGTCGACAGAGAAAACGATTTCTACACTTCTAACACTTCTATGGCATAACAAACACCCGATAGAACTAATTCAACGGTATGTTAAAGGCTCAATCGATTCAGATGTCGGAGTGAAGATACTACGCAGTAAACAACGAATGTCAGGAAGTGGTTTGTGAAAGGTAATATGATTGAACATACCGTACCATTTAAGGCACCCACTCTTCTTCAAACGGTATATAATGCACAAATAATCAACATTTTACGGAAACAACTTACAGAAAAGCCCAATGTTCTCAATTTTACGCAGGAGTGGACGAAGCGCCATTTCGGACTAGCGTCGGCGGAACGATCGGGGTGAGGTCAGTAAGATGTCACAAAGCAACCTGTGAAAGCAAAATGGTGGTATTATAATGGTTGTCAACAACACAGGTGAGGGTGGACTGGGAAGAAACAGTTGGGCATCAGAGGCAAACGTTAGCAGTGTTCAAGTCGAACATACCGCCGTCTTCCTGGATGGGGACCCCGAGACGGGCCACATCAATGGCTAGAGACATTATCAGACATGGCCCAGTCGCGCCCTCAATGGCGCTCGTGCATCAAAGCTATTGCCTTCAATGCATAGCTCCTTTTCTAACCCCCCCCCACTTGACAGCCCACTGACAGTGCTGGATTTATGCACCAAGTTATCAGCTTGCGCCTGCAATGCGCAGCTACCTACCCCTCACTCCAAATCATCGGTGAACGAAACTGCGGCAGCTACAACCACTGTACGACGAGTACGCGGTTATTACAGCTGGCAATGATGATGATGATGATGATGATGATGATGATGATGATGATAACGTGAATGGCGAAAACACAAGGTCTAAGGAGAGTACGGAGTGTTCGGGCGGACAAGTTAGCGCCAACGGAGAAACAAACAGACTGTCAGATAGCGTCTACAGTTACGAAGGCATCGCGTTCCGGGTCCTCTGATGGTAAGGAAGGCAGTCAATAACGAAAATCGTTCAGTTGTAACACCATTCCGGTGCCTATCTGCAACGCCACCCGAAGGAAGCACGAGGACTGGGATACGTCAGGTTGTCCACGCCTAGAGAAGGGAAGTCGAGAGGCAGAAGTTGGGATCGAACGACGGACCACCCGGTCAGTAAGTTCGCGCTCTAACCACTTGAACCATCTCGCTCCCGTCACCAACAAGACAGTTTTCTGGTTGGATGTCCATGAGTCGCTATCGCGAGCCCTCTTGGACTGTCTTCACTCCATATATAACCCGATAGCCGACGGTAGTTCTTCCCGTGAGACATAAGGTTTAATGGTACTACCTATAATTTACAATAAAAATGTCCAAGGAAATTCTTCCGACCTGAAGCTGTTACCCTGTCGTGGTGATTGGGCTTCTGTGCTGCGATCACCCTGTGGCTATACTGGAAGTTAGTTCCTTAAGGTTCAATTGTTTCGGGAAGGCCAATGGAAGCAGCCCGACAAAGAACAGATTTGGAACGAAAACAGAATGCCAGTCGAGTGGAGCTCCTCGACCATTATCCTGGTTTTTAAAAACGAAGCAAGAACTTCACATGAAAACCATCGTGGCATCAGCTAGCTATCCATCGCATCTCAGGTCCTCTCTGGTATTATTTTGCGCAGGCTGATCGATTATCGGGAGAGACAGAATAATGAAAACCAAGCTGGGTTTCCCACTTTCCGAAGATGCATTGACCATATCTTTAGCTTGAGACAAAATCTTGAACAGCACCAATGCTTGAAACGTCCCACGTTGGTTGTTTTTCTTGGTATGAAATCTGCTCTTGATTCTGTCGATCGTGAGAAACTTTGGCAGTGTCTGGCGATCGAAGCTGTCCCTGACAAATTTATATCCCTAAAGGGAGAACTGTATGCCAACTCTTGTGGGATCGTACGAGAATACAGCAAGCTTCCACCTGAGTTCACCGCATCCATTGGTGTAAGACCAGCTTATCCTCTCTCACCTTTCCTCTTTAAATTAGTTATTGATAAGCTGCTTGAAATCCCTCTGCCTGTCTCCGAAACCTAGGGGTCGAAATGATCCCGGGACGTTCGCCCACAGATATTTGGTATGCGGACGATATTGCTCTTCTTGGTCCATATGCTTCAAAAATGCAAACCACTTTAAATAACCTAAATAACTCTGCCGGACGGTCTGGCATGCACTTCACACCTGCAACGCGTTAAGTGCTGCTACAATATTGGGTGGGACAAAACGTCATGCTTGCAGACGAGCCAAGCGACGTGGTAGACAAATTTGTTTACCTGGACAGCTGTATAAGTTCCAGTGGACTGGCTGCAGATGAGATTACTTCTGGAATCAGGAAAGCCAGGATACTTTTTGCCTACCTCCGACACTCATGGCACAGACGTCACGTCAGTTTGTCCGTCAACAGCAGAGTTCACACTGAGGCAGTTACATCCATATTGATTTATGGATCAGAGACGTGGCCTCTACACACAGAGAACATGTGAAAGATGTCACGGTTTGATCATTGGTTTCTCGGAAGCATTGGCCAGATCTGGTGGGAACACATCGGACTAGCGACACTTAGGTACGCCAGATGGTCCTAGGAAGAAGGAACTTTCCCGCGGTAGATGGATTACTCATGCTTCATAGGTTACGCTGGTTAGGACATATAATCCGCATGCTAGAAAGCCGTCTGCCTTGCAGAACTCTTTTCGCCCGGCCTTGAGCTGAGTGGAAGCGACCGAGAGTTGAACCACAGGGGGGTACGACTGTGCCGTCTGATAATGAGTCTGACCACCGATACGTCCCTTCTCGGAGTCCCCATCCAGAAAGACGGCAATGACCAGCACAGCGGAGTTTACTGGTAGTGGCTTTCACACGTCACTGCCAATTCATTGCTTTACTTTCTCTGGCTCGTTTCCACCCTTCCTGTGAGTGTAAGAAAAGAACCCTACGAGGTAGTCGGTCGACCGGCACACAGATCACGTGGCCAAGTCGGCGCAACCTGTCGGGAATAATCGGTTTATCTATCGTGAGCGAGTTATTTCTCCTGAAAACTATTCGACTAACTTCAGCATTAGTGACCAGATGTTCCCACCAGACTCGAACAACGATCCGAAGAAATCGATGGTAAAGCACTGAAAGTCTTCAGAAGCCTTCGGCGCGCGGCGTTCAGGTTTTTTATCCTTATAGTAAGATGGAGCGCATCGCAGCATTATAAACTCGACCCTTGACAGAGAAGCTGATGTCACGTCTACGCCATAAGTGACGTAGGTTCACAAAGGCTGCTCTGGTCTTCCAAATCCGGATGGAAATATCATCTTTCGCGGGACCACCGGGACCGATGCAGCTGCCCAGGTAAACAAATTTATCTACTACCTCAATCGGTTCATTCGCAAGCATGAGGCTAGGGTTCGAGCCCAATCAGTCTTGCAGTAGCACTTTACACTTTGCAGGTGTGAAGCGCACGCCAAACCGTGAGGCGGAATTATTTAGATTGGTTAATATTGTTTGCATCATGATGATCCAAAAAAGAGCTATTTCGACTGCGTACTCAATATCTGCGAGCGGACACCCAGAGAGAACTTTGATCTCACGTGTGTTAGAGGCTGACAGTGAATCTTCCGTAATCGTATCAATGACATAAGTCAACCAGGTCCTTGCTCAGAGGTCCGGATACTGGGTTTTGGAGACCTTCCAGTGTTTGCCTCATCAATAGCGGAAGTAAACAAAAAAGGTATGAACATCTTTGCCGACCACCACTGCTTGTAGGGTGTTTTTGGAGAGCTCCCCATACTCTCTTGCGCGCCCATAGGTATGTGAGCGCATGAGATTCACGAATTTCGAGGGCGTACCTACGCGAGTTACATTGGGAAGGGCGTCCGTGCGACACTCACAGAGTCTCTCATACCAGGTTGATCAATGGTTAGAGTTCTGACGAACACAGTCTTCTGGTCCTCCAGGTTGGGGATTGGAAGACGTTTGGCGACCTGCTCCGCAAAAATGGTAGTATGGTTGCATTTCCGACCAAACCCCGCTGCTTTGCGGTCAGGTTTTGGGTCAAAGGTTTGTGTTAAGGACGCTAATCATCCTTCTGTCTAGGTATGACTAAAGTCATCCTGTCCCTTGATATGCACCTTGCACTCACAAAGTCTAAGGATATGCTCGTGGACGTGCAGAAATTAGACACGCCACTTAAAATCCAGAGAGAAACGTACCTTTGGAAGTGTATTAGTTCTGATTTTAGTGACAGATGAGGTTAATGCACGAATGTGAAAGGCTCGGATCGGGTTTGTTAATTTGAAACACCTGGGGCGTCAAAGCGGCATATTCTCAAATCTCGAAGGACGTGTATCAGGCAACAGTGGGGCATTTTCGTTGCATGGCTGTGCGACTTAGTCTGTTCGGTGTTCGAAAACCTTTGGCTCAGGACAATAGCTTGTGTGGGTTGGTGTCGGAGAATTCGCAACGATAAAACTAGAAAGCGAGTCCTCGGTTGTGCAAGGAAAACTTCTAGTGGGGAATGTGTCCTGCACCAGAATCCGTGTTGGTTAGGCCATGTATAGCGTATGCCGAACCGTCGTTTGCTGAAAGTGCTGTTTTCCGTGCCCAATTCAGAGTGGCGGAAGCAGAGATAGCCAACCCTTGACCTGGCAGAGGGGCATGAAAGATATTACGAAACCTTTGGGTGCTGGTGCTACTCGCCTTCCAGGATAGGGACCGCGAGATCCCCCCTGAACCTGGATGGAGACGGTGGAAAATATGGCTGCTAGTCGATGTCAGTGGCGCTCTTGTTGTCAGTTTCTATCCAGATTGCCTGAATGAGTGTCTGGAGATGTAAGCACCTCGGACTGATGGTAGGAAGCTAGCAATAAGTGCTTTCCCCATTGACCTTTATTCTTTTCTTCGCCATAAGGCTTTCAAATGAATAATGGTTGTACAGCAGTGAAGCATCAGCGTTGAACACTGATGTCGTGTTGTCCATCATGATGAGGGCGTATTCTGCGGCGAGTGTTGAAAAGAACTAGCCGGTCGAGAGAATCGAAGGCCTACGCGCACGACGCTGCTCTAGCACTTGATGAATTGTAAGGATGCAGTCCATGCAGCCCTTTTCCGGCCGGAACCCTGCTTGTTGTCATCGGGTAATGTCTTTCCGCACCTTTATAAGACGACGCAGAATGAGAAACGCAGTCTAGTAGGAGAGAGTGTCAAATTACTTTATGATGACCACACTCACCCTTTTTAGAATAGGCACTACTATCAACTCATCCTAGTGAAACAGTCTTTTTCACCCAAATCGAAGCAAACAAGTTAGGCAAACACAGACTGCCTATTTTGCTCTCATCTTTAAACAAACCGAGTATGAATTCGTCAGGACCAGCAGCTCCGTAAGA